AGGAGGAGGAGGAGGAGGAGGGAGGAGGAGGAGGAGGAGGAGGGAGGAGGAGGAGGAGGAGGAAGGAGGAGTGGGGGAAAGGAGGGGAGGAGGGGGAAAGGAGGAGGGGGAGAGGAGGAGGAGGAGGAGGAGGAGGAGGAGGGGAGGAGGAGGAGGGAGGAGGAGGGGAGGAGGAGGAGGAGGAGGAGGAGGAGGAGGAGGAGGAGGAGGAGGAGGAGGAGGAGGAGGAGGAGGAGGAGGAGGAGGAGGAGGAGGAGGAGGAGGAGGAGGAGGAGGAGGAGGAGGAAGGAGTTGTTTTTTTTGTTTTTGTAAACAAGTTTTGTAAACATATATTGATAATTATGTTTGTGTGCTTATTGTATTGTATACAACGAGTGTATATATGTACATTGCACCTTACTTTGGTCTCATAGGCCACATAAGTTATGTGAAAAAATAAAATAGTGAAAAAAACAAAAAACCTTCAATTACAAGTAAACTAAAGTTTACCGGGTGAGCGGCAGTCGCCGCTGTTGCCATACGCGGCTCATTTTCTGCAAACTTCACGGCTCTATATCTCAGTAAGTACCGATGGCAAAAATTTTTTTTTTGGACTAAAACACTCAGAAAAATAATCTTAACATTTTCATAAGAAAAAATAATTTTTTTTTTTTTTGAATATTTGGCGACATAGAATGACAGTTTCAGAGAGGGGCCTGAAACAGTCAAAGGGTTAAGAATAATAATAATTATAATAGTAAGTTCCCTTGAAGCATGATCTAAGACGTGTGTCACTCGTCTTATCACTCTACTGCTGACAGTGGTGATATCCGATGAGCGCCATCTTATCTTATCTTATCACTCCACTAATGAAAGTGGTGACATTTAATGAGTGTACACTGTCTTTGCTTTATTTGTTTTAACTATTACACATAAACATGTCTGTCTGTCTGTCTAGCTTTCTGTCTGTCTAGCTTTGTCTGTCTAGCTCTCTGTGTCTGCCTGTCTTTCTGTCTGTCTGTTTCTCTCTTTCTGTCTGGTTGTCTCTCTTGTCTCAAAGAGTTGCTCATGAACCAACTGGTATTACACACGGTCACTATCTACAAGCACAGTATAGCATTTTGTCTGGATTTTTTGGGTTATCCTAGGTTATTTACACTTTGTATAATTGTATTTATATATGTGTTCCTGTGAGATAAAGACAGAGATAGAGAGAGAGACATAGAAAGAGATAGATACAGACAGACAGACAGACGGAGATAGAGACAGTCAATCAGTCAGCCAGGTGGCCAGCCAAAATTGTTTCTTACTTAGGGCATAAGTTATAAGACATTCTGGCAGGATGACACTACCAGAGTACCAAAATTGAAAGGGTGTTGCACAAATGTTGCACATGGGCTATTATCGAAGTTTTTAGTATTTCCATGACCACTTGTGGCCACATCCACTTCAAAGCCACTAAATTTAGAGTCAACATCACTGTTCTCTTAAAGGGGAATGCTAATAGGACATGACATCAGTGAATCCTTGGCATTTGCTGTGCTGTTTGCTCTAGCTGGCGCTCAATTGAACTGGTGCTCCCACAAGGTACTAAGTGGTCCCAAATTTTTTAATACTGCGCACACTGAGGGCTAAGACCCATTCTATGCTGACCAGGCATCTTAAGCCAATTGTGCCAAATTTGGAGGAAGGAAAATTAAAACGTAGATCTACATTTGGAGAGCTAGTGGTAAGAACGTAGATCTATGTTTGGACAGTTAAAGGGATAATACTGTGGACACCAAGTGTTAAGACTCATTCTATGCTGACCAATTGTGCCAAATTTGGAGGCAGGAAAAATAAAACGTTGATCTACGTTCAGAGCACTAGCGGTACTAATGTATATATACGTCTGGACCATTTACAGGTTAATGAACACAGAGTTCCAAGAGTCTGGGCCTGGAGTGCATGGGCATGTCATCGATGGCTTTCTCAAAGTCTGGTGGAGTTAGGGTTATGTCAGAAATTTGACATATATTGGCAGGGTTTTGAGGCTCATTCATGAAAAAATTGTTTGGATTGTCTATCTTTAGACTGATTAGTGGCTCGCTGAACACAGAGTCAGATTGAGATTTCAGTATCTCGCTCATTTCTTTGTTGTCATCTGTGTAGGATCCATCTTGTCTGAGCAGGGACCCTATACAAGAAGTGGTTTTTGCCTTGTTTTTGGCATATGAAAAGAAATATTTTGAATTTCTTTCAATTTCACTAATCGCTTTTTTCTCCTCGTCTCTCCTGGATCCTGCACGAGTCCTTTAACTTTAGCTCAATATTTTCCACTCCCCTTGTTAGCACTTCCTCCCATGTATCAGAAAATCCGGCATTCTTGAGGAGCTCAGTGATTCATCGTCTTCTCCTGTAGAGGGAGTCTCTCTCTCTCTCCAGTTTACTTCTTCCCTTCTTTTTTCTTAGATGAATATGCCTTGAACATACTTCAGCTACCAGGAGGCTGATCTTTTCAAGGCACTGGTTAGGGTCCATGAAATTTAAGATATCTTCCCAACATGTTTCATTTAGGGCATAGTTTACCTGATCCCAGTTGATGTTCTTGTTGTTGAAATTGAATTTGGTACCCTCATAGCTGTATGTGTTTTGCTGATCAGGACTCCAGTGCATGTAAGTCTGGACTTAATTAGATTGTGATCAGAAATAGTTGTTTCTGGTACTGTTATGTTTCTTACCAGGTCCTTATTATTTGTGAAAATAAGGTCTAGTGTGTTCTCTAGTCTCCTTGGCTCCACTATCTGCTGACTTAGGATGTGTTTATTGCAGAAATTCAGCAGCTCATGTGTGTGTGACTTTTCATCTGAGCTGCCTCCAGGGATTATTTCTATAACATTATTTGCTAAATTTCTTCCATTTTGTATGTCTTAGATTGAAGTCACCAAGCAGCAAGATGTTTGGAGATAAGGCTGGAAGGTTTTTTAGACAGGAGTAAATTTTTGATAGTTGTTCTTTGAACTGTTGGGAAGTTGCATCTGGTGGCTTATATACAAGTACAATGATTAAGTTTTGGTTCTCGATTTTTATTGTCAGAACTTCAACTACATAATTTGTGGTGTTCAGTATCTCTGTGCAAATGAGAGACTCTTTGACATACAGGCCAACTCCCCCTTATTGCCTGTTCTTCCTGTCACATCTGAAAAGGCTGTACCCAGGTATCCATATTTCACTGTCAAAGTAAAGGCCCTGTATATTAGCAAATATAAATGAGGTTGAGTTGCATTTTTGTTGGGGGGGGTTTCGTTGTTGGCATCAGTAGTTGTGAGTCCAGAGGGGCCACTGGCTGTGCCTCCAGTCTAACAAGGCTCCAAGGTGGTGGGCTATTTTGGTTATCTCTTTCCATTTTCTTTCTTTGTTTCCTACCGCTAAAAAAATCACTTGGGGTAGAGTTGTCATAACTACCCTAACTACTATGATTTGTTGTACTGGGTGTGTGCCTCCTGGTCCCTTTTAGGTGGTATGTGGGGCAATTGGTATTGTAAAATTGTTTTTCAAGGACTGAAGAATGACACATCTCAGGGTGGAAGAATTTGCAAGAGATAGAATGACACACTCCTTTAGACAGGAGGTTGCGGCATTTTTTGGGATGCTCAAATTTTCATACCCCATTTGTTTTTCCTCATATTCCATGTTTACACATGCCCCAAACATGGTGGGATGGTCATGGCTATAATAGATGGATGGTGGGTGGTAGTGCTTGTGGTGGGTAGTAGTGGTGGGTGCATGGAGTTATGAGTATCTCACAGGTACTAGGTATGAAGAGTTATCAGCTCTCTTTCTCCATTACAGTATGTATTTTAACAAACCGGTCATCTCCAGCTGAGGTAGGGTGTTTTCAAATTGGTATTTCCAAATTTATAAGGTTAATTTAATTCCAATTTTAGATATGCAAGGTTGATTGCAACCTTAATGATTGTCCTACAAACTCAGGACTCTGGACACTCCTTTACCCTCCCCATCCACACCATATACAGCAGCTGTCGGTGAACACTCCCAGTCTGGCTGCTAATTTTAAATGCATGCATAGAACTATCAAATCAGCCTCAATTAGCACTGAATATTTCTGATGCTGTAAGCATGCCCCAGTTTTCTTTTAGATGTGCAAATATATTGTGTGCCTTGTATGCAAATATGCACTGATTCAAAGGCATACAGTATTTCATTGATTTTGTTGCTTGATCCACATACTTAAATTTTTTCTAGATGTATTAATTCACTATATAGTGAAAATAATTTCTTAAAAGCTTTAGGCATCACTGTCTGTGCACAAAAGCATTCACTTTATAAGCTTGTAAAAAGATGGTACATACTGTCTAAGAAGATATGCTGACAGCTTTGGAGATATCATGAGCTCTGTGACTTGCTGCATATATACATAAGAGATATATCCATTGTAACAACCACAGTGCAGTGATGATCTTTCTCTCTGGTTTGGGTCCAAGAGTCAGTGCTTTATTGCTAGTCAACTTACTAGGATTAAATAAAAAAATAACATCTAAATGGAGCCAACATTTGGAAATTGTGCCACATGCAACCCTTATGACCTATACAAGTTTGGTTTTTTGTTTTCGAATGTAATAATAACCACATGCGACACACAATAGGTTCTTTTAAGTCTGCTGTGCAGGCAAGACATTGTCTAAGTATCTAAATAAAGACATTACCTCCTTTAAATGAAAAGGTGAAGTGATATAAGATAAAAAATATTTTACTGGGGTAACATCACCAGTGGGGTGCTACAAGGATGGGTGCTTCACAATTAATGTCTCAAATCTAAATAAATTATTTGCCAAGAGGAATAAAAAACTATGCAAATATACTGGTGGATGATGCACAAACCCTAAGATTAAAAATAAAAATTACTGTATATTCCTGCAGAAAGACCTGTATACTGTAGATTGAGCAAGTGTAATGGTGATTTATAAATGATGGACTTTATTGTAAATAAATGCCAAAGCAGGGTGACCCAAAAGGCAAAAACATTCACCATCATTTATTTAATAGCTGTCTTGCTAAAAGAATGTACTCACGTACTCACATAAGCCTACAGACACTGACAGATCCTATCACTCAAAACCTCCTTTATTTCTTTCTCCCAGCCTTCCCTGGGATGACCCCTATCTTTCCTTCCTTTCACCCCACATTTACTATATTCACAAAATGTGCCAAACCCACATGGGACAAAGTACTGTAAGGTTAAGGGGGACCTACTGACAAAGGGAAGCAACATCATCAGTGAACAAGGGACTACAAGAACAAGTCGAGAAAGGAAAAAGTCATCCTGAGAGGATACTGTATTGAACTAGATAAGGTTTTTTTCATAAATTATGATCAAATACTTGAATGGGATTTAGAAGGAGGTAGTAAGTGATATGCTCCGTAGATACATAAATACATTATGGGACAAACTAAAGAGAAAGATGAGATATCATGAGTATAACTCCTCTTTTACCTAATATAGGTATTCTCAGTGTGTCCATACAACAAATTTCCATGTGTGTGTCTCCCCACTACAGGCCACCTCTTGACACTACCCCAGGTCAGACTTCCATGCAGTGCCGGAAATATTTTTTACTCACAACTAACCAAAAGACCAGTGATCAAAAGTTGACTGTTATTGGAACACTGGATATGTTAAGTTCTACTGTAATATATTTTCATATAAATTACAATCATCACTCCCAATGGTTAATTATCCAATAACTAACATTAAAAATAAGAAAAACTTGTTTTAAAACATTTGTTCACCACTAAACTGAAACTTTGAGATATCACAATAGTGGTTGAGTGGAGAATATTTTAGTGCTTGGAATTACTGTAAATATTAAATATTCGAATTAACTGTACATTAGGTGAAAAACATTTTCTATACAAAACAATTTATAGACTTAACATTTAGCACCCAGTACATTTGTAATACATATATAGTATAATCAACAAATGATATATAAACAAATACCATAAGACAGTATTAAGGTTTCTACAATGAACAACAACTATTTACACAGGATTGCAACTACTATTAACCCTCTGAGAGTCCATCCTGTAGTTCTATGACTTTGAAGCTAGGATCCAAGCCATAGTACTACGTCATAAGCTCGGCTCACTCAGATAAGCCGAGAGTGGTAAATTTCAGCCTAGATATGAGAGAATGCATCTATGTGGTAAATGTGCACCATATAAAACAAATCCTGCAGCACGCAGTGAATAATGAGAAAAAAACTGCAATTGTACTTTTGGATTAAAAAGTGACTGTGCGGTGTATTTTCATATGGTTTTTATGGTAGCATTCGAGGTTTCTTGGTCTCATTTGATAGAATGGAAGATATATTACAGAAATAGATTGGTTTTAGTAATAAAAATAGCTTGAAACTGAGCTCAAAGTAGGGGAAATGTTCGATTTTTGCCGATGTTCAAGAGTGAGCAAATCACGTCGCATGTCGAATACACATCAACTGGTGTGTCTAATATACATTTACAAATGAGCTGATGTTATTTATACAATTATATTACAATATTGCATAATAGTAAATCTTCTATTTTTTTGGTGTGGAAAAAGATCTCTTATGTGAATAAAAAATCATAATGGAATTCATCTGTAAAGCCTGGAAATGTAACTAATAAACAGAGGAAATGTTATTTTAGTGCTAGGAATGCCTGCAAATTACCAATTTCTGATCACTTTATTGGGTAGTTGAAATAGATGACTGGGCAGTTTCTTGTGCTCAGTTGATAAAATAGAAGTGATACTAGTGAAATAGCTAAGAATTTGGTTGACTGGATTAATGTAATTGGCCTAAAATAGGAGTCAAAGTGGGCAAAATCGCCAATGTGTTAATATCGCTGATGCAGCAAAATTCACGACAGTGTAATTTTGTCAATTTTCATCAAATTTCATTAGAAAAAGTTCCTTTTTCATAAGAAAAAGTAACAAAATTTTTATTGAAAATTTTTGGACACTGTGGACAAGGCATAGAACTACTGGACGGACCCTCAAAGGGTTAGGATTTGTTACCAAATACTATTTTTTTTTTTGTATAAGCAGGATAGGTAGCATTGTCAAGATTATAGAAAAATAAATATTCAGGAACAATAAAGTTCCTCAATAATACAATATACAGTACTGTATATAAAAATTGTTATTATGGCTCTGAATAAAATTTATCTGGTATACTGCAAGTAGATTATGAAAGTAACATTTGTCTAAGTTCCATTTACAATACACATATTACAGAACAATGGAAATAACATTTAAAATGGAACTGATAAATTAATGTTGTCATAAAAATGACAACATTTGTGGTGTTCTGGTAATATGCAAAATAAGCGTGGCATCAAAGAATTAAAAACTTTCAGCATGAATTCATATTTAAGAAAATTACTAAAGCACCATCACAACTTCTAACAAACTTCTCACTTCTTTATCAAGCATGAAATTTTTATCAACAGTAATCAACTTAAATCCCTATGATAGATAAGATACTCAACAAGTATACAAGATATTAATCATTACCAACAAGGTTCTTAATATAGCGTTGCATTATACCATAATCCATGGAAACTGCTCTAGAGCCACCATGCCCATGCTGCTGTTGTTGGTGATGGTGATTGCTATGGGATGGCAGGGAGGAGGATATGTCACTGGTTTCTTTTATATCTTCTTTCTCCCCATCTTCTGGCTTCTGGATTGTCATTTCTTTTTTCTCATGCTAGGAAAAAGTATACAGTCATTAATATGAGAAATGACCTTCAGATGTAATTTCCTTTTGACAAAATTCACTTTAGCTGTTGCAATACTTCACAAGTAAATGGACTACTCTACTCGTCAGTAGCAGCTCATCCACAGGAGCTGCAGAGATGCAGTCCCCCCCAGATGCTCACTGCCAGATGTATGACTTCATCAACATTACACTAAAATAATTTGCAACTGACAAATATACAGTAGGGCCCCACTTATACGGCGGGTTAGGTTCCAGGCTATCGCCAGAAAGCAGAACGCCATTTTTTCCATTTATAAATGCATATAAATGCCAGACAACAGATTTACACTAACTTATATTAAATTAGTAATAGAACTAGGCACTAAAAACACAAAAAGTAAAATGTATACACAGTACATTCATTACTTATCTTAGAGTATTTGTAATCTTAATGTAGGGAGAGAGGTGAGTAGTTCTTATTTGTAGGAAGTCAGGTGTAGGTAGCCCTGGCTCCCCGTCTCATACTTAATATGCGATATTTAAAACAGCCCAGAGTTAAAATATACATACAGTACACTCACTATTTACCTTAAAATATGTGTAGCCTTAATGTAGGAAGAGAGGTAAATAGTATTTATTTGTAGGAAGTCAGTGTAGGTAACTGGTAGGTGTAGCCCACCTGAGCTACACCTACTGACTACCTACACTGTGGCCCAGAGCCATATTATTAGCATCGACATACCTTGTTCACTGAATTTAATCGTTTCTAACAACTACCTTTAGATGCCATCATAAACGAAGGGAGAAGTAATGAATAATTCATGCCGAAAATTGTAAACAAAAGCAGAGTGGGGGAGTGGCTGGGCCAAACGCAGATTCATACACATTTTCTCTGGTGACTGAGCAGAGAAAACGTAATGTTGTCCCTCTGCCCGGCTACCACACAGGTCCACAAGTATTATTATCAGAGCACATACAAAATATGTAATAAATGCCAGACAACAAGTTTACACTAACTTATACTAAGTTAGCAATAGAAATAGGCATTAAAAGCACAATAAAAGGTAAGGTATGCACAGAGTACACTTATTACTTGCCTTAAAATATTAATATTAATGTGTGAGAGATAAGTGGCAGGGTGTTTATTGAATAAAATCAGAATGGCACACTATCATCCTCTAACTTGGCACAACCCTTTGACTGTCGCAGGCCCCTTTCTGAAATTGTCATTCTACGTCGCAAAATATTTGAAAAAAAAAAAAAAAATTTCTTACCAAAATGTTAGGATTATTTTACTGAGTGTTTTAAGCCTAAAAAATTTTTTTTGCCATCAGTACTTACCGAGATACAGAGGCGCAAAGTTGGCAGAAAATGAGCACCGTATGGGAACAGCAGCAAATGCCGCCCACCCAGTATTCTTTTATTTACTCCAATTCGAAGGTTTCGTATTTTCCATTATTTTTCTTTTCTAAGTAACTTATGTGGCCTGTGAGACCAAAGTAAGGTGCTGCTGCACCATGGTCAGCTGCTGCTGCACCACGGTCAGCTGCTGCTGCACCACGGTCAGCTGCTGCTGCACCACGGTCAGCTGCTGCTGCACCAGTCAGCTGCTGCTGCACCACGGTCAGCTGCTGCTGCACCACGGTCAGCTGCTGCTGCACCACGGTCAGCTGCTGCTGCACCACGGTCAGCTGCTGCTGCACCACAGTCAGCTGCTGCTGCACCACGGTCAGCTGCTGCTGCACCACGGTCAGCTGCTGCTGCACCACGGTCAGCTGCTGCTGCACCAGTCAGCTGCTGCTGCACCACGGTCAGCTGCTGCTGCACCACAGTCAGCTGCTGCTGCACCACGGTCAGCTGTTTCTGACCAACATGACTCGTCCCGAACCTGTCCATCCAGCACTGCCGTCTTTGTTTACAAGCCAGGGTGGCCGCTTGCATGCATACATTCAATTCATTTTGTATTATTCCATTGTTTATAGTGCTTGGAGCTGCTAAATAAGGCACCATGGGCCCAGAGAAAGCTTCTAGTGCCAACCCTGTGGTAAAAAGGGTGAGAAATACTATCGTACCACACTCAGCTGCTGCTGCACTACTGTCAGCTGTTGCTGGACCAGTCAGCTGTTGCTGCACCATGGTCAGATGTTGCTGGACCAGTCAGCTGTTGCTACACCATGGTCAGCTGCTGCTGGATCAGTCAGCTGTTGCTGCACCATGGTCAGCTGTTGCTGGACCAGTCAGCTGTTGCTGCACCATGGTCAGCTGTTGCTGGACCAGTCAGCTGTTGCTGCACCACAGTCAGCTGTTGCTGGACCAGTCAGCTGTTGCTGGATCAGTCAACTGTTGCTGCACCACAGTCAGCTGTTGCTGGACCAGTCAGCTGTTGCTGCACCATGGTCAGCTGTTGCTGGACCAGTCAGCTGCTGCTGCACCACAGTCAACTGTTGCTGCACCACAGTCAACTGTTGCTGCACCACTGTCAGCTGCTGCTGCACCACCATCAGCTGTTACTGACCAACATGACTCGTCCCTAACCTGTCCATCCAGCACTGCCGTCATTGTTTACAAGCCAGGGTGGCCACTTGCATGCATACATTCGATACACTTTGTATTATTCCATTGTTTATAGTGCTTGTAACTGCTAAATAAGCCACCATGGGCCCAAAGAAAGCTTCTAGTGCCAACTCTGTGGTAAAAAGGGTGAGAAATACTATCGTACCACAGTCAGCTGCTGCTGCACCACTGTCAGCTGTTGCTGGACCAGTCAGCTGTTGCTGCACCATGGTCAGATGTTGCTGGACCAGTCAGCTGTTGCTACACCATGGTCAGCTGCTGCTGGACCAGTCAGCTGTTGCTGCACCATGGTCAGCTGTTGCTGGACCAGTCAGCTGTTGCTGGATCAGTAAGCTGTTGCTGCACCATGGTCAGCTGTTGCTGGACCAGTCAGCTGTTGCTGGACCAGTCAGCTGTTGCTGGACCAGTCAGCTGTTGCTGCACCACAGTCAGCTGTTGCTGGACCAGTCAGCTATTGCTGGATCAGTCAACTGTTGCTGCACCATGGTCAGCTGTTGCTGGACCAGTCAGCTGTTGCTGCACCATGGTCAGCAGTTGCTGGACCAGTCAGCTGTTGCTGGATCAGTCAGCTGCTGCTGCACCACAGTCAACTGTTGCTGCACCACCATCAGCTGTTACTGACCAACATGACTCGTCCCGAACCTGTCCATCCAGCACTGCCGTCATTGTTTACAAGCCAGGGTGGCCACTTGCATGCATACATTCGATACACTTTGTATTATTCCATTGTTTATAGCACCTGTAACTGCTAAATAAGCCACCATGGGCCCAAAGAAAGCTTCTAGTGCCAACCCTGTGGTAAAAAAGGTGAGAAATACTATCGTACCACAGTCAGCTGCTGCTGCACCACTGTCAGCTGTTGCTGGACCAGTCAGCTGTTGCTGCACCATGGTCAGATGTTGCTGGACCAGTCAGCTGTTGCTGCACCATGGTCAGCTGTTGCTGGACCAGTCAGCTGTTGCTGCACCATGATCAGCTGTTGCTGGACCAGTCAGCTGTTGCTGGATCAGTCAGCTGTTGCTGCACCACAGTCAGCTGTTGCTGGACCAGTCAGCTGTTGCTGGGTCAGTCAGCTGTTGCTGCACCACGGTCAGCTGTTGCTGGACCAGTCAGCTGTTGCTGGATCAGTCAGCTGCTGCTGCACCACAGTCAACTGTTGCTGCACCACTGTCAGCTGCTGCTGCACCACCATCAGCTGTTACTCACCAACATGATTCGTCCCGAACCTGTCCATCCAGCACTGCCGTCATTGTTTACAAGCCAGGGTGGCCGCTTGCATGCATACATTCAATACATTTTGTATTATTCCATTGTTTATAGTGCTTGTAACTGCTAAATAAGCCACCATGGGCCCAAAGAAAGCTTCTAGTGCCAACCCTGTGGTAAAAAGGGTTAGCAATACTATCGTACCAGTCAGATGCTGCTGCACCACCGCCAGCTGTTGCTGCACCACCGTAAGCTGTTGCTGCACCACAGTCAGCTGTTGCTGCACCACCATCAGCTGTTGCTGCATCACCGTCAGCTGTTGCTGCACCACCATCAGCTGTTTGCGCACCACCGTCAGCTGTTGCTGCACCACCGTCAGCTGTTGCTGCACCACAGTCAGCTGTTGCTGCACCACAGTCAGCTGTTGCGACACCACAGTCAGCTGTTGCTGCACCACCGTCAGCTGTTGCTGCACCACCTTCAGCTGTTGCTGCACCACCGTCAGCTGTTGCTGCACCACCGTCAGCTGTTGCTGCACCACCGTCAGTTGTTGCTGCACCACAGTCAGCTGTTGCTCCAACACCATCGGCTGTTGCTGCACCAGTCAGCTGTTGCTGCACCACAGTCAGCTGTTGCTGCAGGACACAGTCAGCTGTTGCTGCACTACCATCAGCTGTTGCTCCACCAGAGTCAGCTGTTGCTGCACCACAGTCAGCTGTTGCTCCAACACAGCTGTTGCTGCACCACAATCAGCTGTTGCTCCAACACGGTCAGCTGTTGCTGCACCACAGTCAGCTGTTGCTCCACCACCATCAGCTGTACTACTCAAAGATATGGAGACAGTGTTGTTGTGTGGCTTAACGTAAAACAATTACCGAGAAACGATTAACCCCAGAGGGTTAGCCACCCAGGATAACCCAAGAAAGCCAGTGCATCATCGAGGGCTGTAACTTATTTCCATTGGGGTCCTTAATCTTGTCCCCCAGGATGCGACCCACAACAGTCAACTGACACCCAGGTGAACAGGAAAAAATGCCTGGAACTAGTGCTCATATTGGTGAATTTAAAGCCAGCAAAGGTTGGTTTGAGAGACTTAAGAATTGTAGTGGCATACACACTGCAATAAAGCATGGCAAAGCTGAAAAATTCATCCCCCAACAAGTGTTCAATTGTGATGAAACAGGCCTGTTCTGGAAGAAAATGCCAAACAGGACCTACATTACTCAGGA